AGATACACAGATCCTAAATTTTAAACATTTCAGTGATGCTATTGGCATGTGGTGGGCGTCATCTATTCCTGAGATGTGTGCTGTTTTGTTATGTAGGCCAAGTTCACAGCTCGGGTACATTCCTGAACGTTCATGTGGCCATGGTTTCAGTTTTACTGCTGTTTCAGTTTTCACAGTGCTTTATGGGAAATACTGGGGTACAGGAACAGGGCCTCGTGCAGAAGCAGTCTGCCAAGCCTCAAAACGGACCACTGTGTTGGCTCTGTCGCTCTGCACAACTGCCTACCCCTCCTTCCCGATGAGCACATAACCCTGCCGAAGTCTGAAGTCTGCAGTGCTGCTGTCCTGCGTTGTGGCACAGACCTGCTGTTCTCAGCAAAGCAACCAAAATCTGTCACTCTGGCAGCCTCCTGCCTTCTCCACAGAGACTGTGAAGGTGTCAGCAGGTCCTCCTCAAACCATGGACTGCCTGCTTGCAGAGAAACAGGTTGCAAACAGCTCAAAACAAACAAATCCAGATTCCAAAAAGGCTGAAGCTTTCAGGAAGCAGCATCTTTTCTTTTTTTCAGCTGTGCCTTAGTTGTGTTACGTGCTGCCTGTAAAATACAAGCGTGAATTCAGAGTCACAGGAATTTATTAGAACTTTCCATTTTAAGCGAGGTGCTGTCCTTTGAAGTGGGATGCTGTTCTGTGTTGGATGCAGTGCCATCCCTCTCCCCTGGCAGCTCAACGCCCATGTCTCTGTGTCCTGTCCTCAGCTGCCGGGCCTTGGTGACCAGACCACACTGTCCCTGCAGGAGTGCCTCCGGCTGCTGGAGGCCACCTTCCCATTTGGAGACGAGGCTGAGGTAACGGGACGCTATGAGCAGAACTCACGCGTGCCTGAAGCTCATGGTGTAAACTACCTGCACTTTTATATGCTGTTCCCTCCAAGTCCATTCATAATCCCCGATTAAATAGGAACAGTAGGCATAAAAAAGAGAAAGATTTACAGGTGTGACATATTTCTTCCTTTAAAATATCTAAACATGTTTTTCTGTAATCTATATAGCTTTGCATACAGCAAAGTCGCATTTGTAATGCATTAGGCTTGAGGGTCACATTTATTCACACTCCTGTAGTTAGTATTTTGTAAATCCTCCTCTGGTGGGGATCACACAGACTAGGTGCCTGCTGTAGTGTGCTGTGAGGCTGTTCAGATGGGGAATGTGTGCATGTTTGTTCGTGTGAAATCTCTCCTATGTCCTGCACACTCTCTGGTTTCCTTTAGTGAATTGCCATCTTCAGGCAGTTAATGATTCTATTGTCATTAAAGACTCAAGAAACAGCCAAGGAACTGGGTAATATTTATCTCTGCAGTACACTTTTCATACATGTGCACTTCAGTCCCTTGCTATTGCACTGTTCTGCCTCTGCAAAGCAGATATTTCAAAATATTGTAGTCTTGATCATATAAGCTCAGTTGGTTGTAGACCTACATGTTGTAGGTCGGGGGTTCGGTGCTCTTACTGTGGGGTAACAGAATGAGTGCTGACCTGTGTGTCCATCTGTTCAGTTCCCAGGCTCGGTGACCCCTGAGGTGCATGAAGTGGGCCCATCCACCTCGCAGGGCCCACTGCTGTCCCCCCTCCTGCCCGAGACTGACGCCCCTCTGGACCTGGAGCAGCAGTGGCAGGACATCATGGCCATCATGGAGCTACAGGTCTGTGTCTCAGTCGCCTTTATCCTGAAGACAAATCGGATTGATGGGCAGTGCAAATGAGTGCAAGTGTGTCATATGGCCCCTCCTCGTCCTGAACTGTGATCTTGAGTTTAGAGTTTAGAAAGGGTTTTTGGGGCATGTTTTCTCTTTCTCTTCTTTAGTGATGGAACAAGCTAACTAGCTTTCCCTCTCCAGGCCATAAAATACTGTTTTTTACACTTTAAACAATATAGGCAAGTGGACAAGGCAGTGAGCCATTGTTAAGGCTGGCTCCTGTCACAGTCAGTTTGGAAAGATTGTGTGCGTGCTTCAATGACAGTCCCTCTGTAAATTCCTGCAGATTAAACTCAGAATAAAGGCTCATGGGTGACTGGCTCACTGTAAACATCACATGTCCAGCTGGCATGAGTATGTGTTTCATGGTTGCTGTAATAAATTGCCTTTATAAACATACATGTGAGTGTCCTTATTAGTCTTACGTTAGTAAATGCTAATTGAAGCGGCTCTGTAGTGGAAATTCTGGAGCTACCTCTGATGGTTATTCCTCTGTTTTCACACTGGCTACAGGACATGGAGGTGAACAGCGTGACCGATTCTTCTTATCTCAACGGAAACACCAGCTCCAGTGGCAACAGCAGTGGGATGGACACCGGATCTGTGGAGAGTTTTGGCCTCTCCAGCCCCACCCCCATTCACCAGGACGTGAGTCTCCACCAGGCCTCCCTGCCAAGCTGCAGCCAGGACTTCCCGGCCTTCTTCAGCCCTGATCTGGACAGCGGCTGCTCCCTGGAGGCCCCCGGCCAGCCATCCGCCCTCCTGAGCCTCTCTTCCAGCAACTCCACTGACGTCAACTCCACCTTCGGTGCCACCAACCTCACAGGCATCTTCCTCCCGCCAGCGCTCAATGGCACGGGCAACAGCACCTTGGAGCCGGCCATGCCGGACCCGCTGGGCGGTCTCCTGGAGGAGGCCATGCTGGATGAGATAAGCCTTCTGGACCTGGCCATGGAGGAGGGCTTCAGCCAAGCACAGGCCTCCCAGCTAGAGGAGGAACTGGACTCCGACTCCGGTCTGTCTCTGGACTCCAGCCACAGCCCAGTCTCCCCTAGCAGCTCCGAGACCTCCTCCTCTTCGTCCTCCTCCTCTGCCTCCGTCTCCTTCTCGGAGGAAGGGGCCGTGGGCTACAGCACTGACTCCGAGGCCGTCGCGGACCTGGAGGAGGGCGCCGTGGGAGGCTACCAGCCCGAATACAGCAAGTTCTGCCGCATGAGCTACCAAGACCCGGCCCTGTTCCACCAGCTGCCCCACCTGGAGCACGTCAGCCACAACCACACCTACAACTTGCCCCTGTCCTCCCATGCCGAGAAGCCCCAGGCAGCGGGCGCGGGGAAGAAGCCGTCCCGGGAGAAGCCCCAGCACCAGCCGCCGCAGGACCTCCTGGACAAGCAGTCGAGCCGCGACGAGAGGCGGGCCCGCGCCATGAAGATCCCCTTCTCTAACGACAAGATCATCAACCTGCCCGTGGAGGAGTTCAACGAGCTGCTGGCCAAGCACCACCTGAGCGAGGCCCAGCTGGCCCTGGTCCGGGACATCCGGCGCCGGGGCAAGAACAAGATGGCGGCTCAGAACTGCCGCAAGCGCAAGCTGGACACCATCCTGAACCTGGAGCACGGCGTGGAGGAGCTGCGCCGCGACAAGACGCGGCTGCTGAAGGAGAAGATGGAGTTCGTGCGCTCCATCCGCCAGATGAAGCAGAAGGTGCACAGCCTGTACCAGGAGGTCTTCTCGAGCCTGCGGGACGAGCACGGCCGCCCCTACCCCGCCAGCGACTACGCGCTCCAGTACGGTAGCGACGGGAGCGTCCTGCTCATCCCGCGCAGCCTGGCCGCCGAGCAGGCGCGCAAACAGGAGCGCAAGCACAAGGACAGGAAGAAGTGAGGATGGCCGCCTGGGCTTTCTTTACCCCTTTTGTTTGCGAAAATCGTTTTGTAGCGGCAGAAAGGAGGGGAAGTGATTTTTTTTTTCTTTCGCAAGGAGAAAAAAGAAAAGGCGGGGGGGGGGGAGGGAGGAGAGAAATGCTCTTCTTCCCGCTTAGTTTTTCTTTTTTGTTTTGTTCCAGAGTTTTTTTTCGTGTTTCTTTTTTTCCAGAAAAACAACTCAACGAAGCACAAGTGCGTTGCTTTAAAACCGACTCGTCCTGAAAAGGAATGAAACGAAGGGAGAAGTACAAGCACTTGGAGGAACTCTGCAACAGCTTGAAGAAAAGGAAAAAAATCTGTACGTGGTCCTGAAGGCTGCAGGCCGGCAAGGAGACGAGGAGGGAAAAGGTCATTTCGGACGGCGGAGAAAACTGGCAGTGATACAGCCAGATTCCCAGTGGGGAAAGAAATCTCTCTCCTAATATGGGACAGCATTATGCGTTGAGAGACACACTCCCAGGGGAATGTTGATGTGCTCCTCGTGTTGTGTGGGGCACAGGGATTCAGGTTGCCTAGGAGACCCGGAATACCCAGCATCCTCTTGTGTGGTGTGGCCTGCAGGCATCTCCCCCTCGAGCAGGCTGGAGTGGAAGAACACGAGACCCGCCCCCCTGCCTGAGGCTCCCAGTCAGTTTGAGTGGCCCTGTTGTTCTGCGTTGGTTTTCAGAAGGAGCAAAAAAAAAAAGACTGGTATGCAGTCCTCGATACCATTGCTTACCAAAGGTCGTCACATGTCCGCAGTTTACCTTTCTTGTAATAGGTCTTGGCGTCTTTCCACCTCCCCGCCGCGTTAGCGTGGTTAGGTTAGAAGCTATGCTGCACTTGTCTGAAGCTTGTACAGGAGGAAGAGAAAAAGGAAAGTGGGTGTGTGAGGCTGGGGGTGGGGGGGGGGCGTCGGCCGAGGTGGCTGTGGCTGAGCTGTGTTCCCTGTGCCTCTGTTGGCGGAGATCTCCACTGGAGAACAGGGGAACTGTGCACCGCCAGGCCTGCCGCTGTATACCTGTACATAGTTCTGTAGTCTTCTGTGGAGGGCTTGTCTGTATGAACTGCTGTCTATAGATTCATCTATGGGTTAGTCATCAGCTCTGATCTTAGCACCTTGCATGACCTGTGCAAGGGTGAGGGGCGAGCTGTGGCCCCCCACTCTCTTTACCACTCCCCCCTGGCCCTTACCTGACCCCCCCCAGCCACTGAAATCAGCTGCTGATGTGATCTACTTGGACTGCGCTTGAGGCAGATATGAAAACACTTTACTGTGGCATTTTCTCTTCTTAATATTTCGGAGTGGAGTGAATCGAAGCCCTCTCACAGGCTGCAGGAGTCGGTAGTCTTTGGTTCTGCTTCCCAGAAGATGTTCTTAGACTTAGTGTCTTGGTTTTGCAGACACAATCCCAAATCGCTAGTGTTATCCGAGTGTGTTGGCGTCCTCATGGCCAGGCACTGTCGGGCGTTTGCGTTGCGTGTAGCCAGTGCCTTCTGTCATCACAAGCATAAGCCTCTACTGACACATCTTGAGTTTTATGTTTGCTGTTGTGCTGCTTGAACCCACTGTGCGTCAGTACCAACAGTTCTGTTGTAAAACCATTGCTCTGCAGGTGAGTAGGCCCTGAGAAGTATTTACAGCTAGCTAGAAGAATGCCGCTTCTGTGTATTAAGGATATGAAAAAATATAATAATAATGGACTGTATTATTTTTGATTACACCATTTGCATATCAGCAAAATGTACGTCTGAAAAGGTGCCACTCCTAAAATGATTATAGATTAAGGAAAACCTGGTGTATAAGAAACCAGAAGCATTGTAAGGCATCGCCTGATGTTTGATTTCTACATCTAGATAATTGATTAACACATTTTATGTTCTAAAGAGCCAATTATTCCCATTCTTGCACTGCTTCAATCTGCAGACAGTATTCAACAACAGGGCTTTAGACATAGCAGACATTTTTATTGCTGTGTAGATCCCGTGGCAAAGTTCTTAACAGTCCCAGATGTTTAAGACTGTAGGCGGGCTCCCGGTGGTGAACTGTCTGCTCAAGCTGAACAAATAGTTGTCATGTTTCTGCTGCAAGGTCCCTTAGCATGGGCTGCCTGTGAAGCAGCAGGTCTGTCCCAGCTGAGAATGGGGCATCAGGAGTCCTGGGCCCAGCTGTTTCAGCGTTCTCTGAAACGGAAGCAGATTTCAGGCACCTTTGTTTTCAGATCAGCACCAGTCTTGTATTTCTGGAGAGCTAATTTACTGTCTTTCTGATCATCTGTTGTAGCAGAGAAGAATAGAGGTCGCATGAATGGAAGGCTAAGATTCCACACGTGTTAGTTTGTTGGCCAGACAGGTGAAAGCTATCCAAGTTCAGGAGTGTGCTGCCAGTATCGGAGATGCTCGAGACTTTTTTTTTTAGCATCTCTGAGATGTATAGTAGAATATCACTCTGCAGATAGCTTCTGCCTTCTAGCATCTCAGAGACTCATAGGGAATCGCAACAATTTGAACACCCAGGTCAGCAGGCTGAACTCAAAAAGATCACTTTAGCTATCTCTGCTGCTTGACGAGCATCCCTGCAGGTTGCAAGTCATGGGCTCGAACACTTCTGCAAAACACAATGATCTGACCATTATTTGTAATGTGTTTTGCCTTACTCCATGGCATGGGGTCATTTTTGAGAAACATGCACGCGTACACTGGAGACACAGTCAGGGCCTGGTGAGAGAGAGCTTTTGATCAGCTACACCTCCTTTAAAGAGCTTTCTGTTGTGGCACGGAGGAAGTTTTCTTTCATCTGGCACACGCTCCTAAAAATATTCCCCCCTCAGCATCAATAGCAGCATTTACTCACACTCATGACTCGTTCGGTTATTGTGGGTCCTTTGTGTTTGTGGCCACGGAGGAGTCACTTTAAACATCCTTTGATGCACTAGTATATATAATATGTATTAAAACACAATATGAAGTTCAGAAGCTGTCATAGCCTTTGTTTGTCTTCAAAAGCTTACCTGCCAAATTTGAGCTCAAACTATTAAAAAACACTGGAGTGGAGCTTGTAACAGGGTTTGGTGTTTTTACCGAAACAAAAAATGAATTTGCAGAAAGTCAAAATTGTTCACCTAGTTTTTTTTTTCTCGGCTTGAAAACGATACACTGGGATTAACTATATATATATATTCCAAAGCACTTTTTTGAGTAAATACTCATTCTGCCGTCTAGACTTGCTTTCCTTTCCTTACGTGTTCGTTCTGTAAATATTTTCATGTTGGAAACCTGTCCGTGCCGTTTAATTTCTTCTGTGTCGTGTCTTAGATGTGTGTGCCGTCTTACAAAGTCCTTTGCTCTCATTTTTAATTCTTTCGGTTGTATATTTTTTTTGGTTTAATTTCGAGTGTTTGCTGGCAATCTGGGATTGTTCTTTTACAGAATAATAAAGTGTTTTTATTTTCAACTGCGACTCTGGTTTTTAGTTTTTTAAACGCGCGCTACAGAGGGAGCTCACCCTCGCTACCACATGAGATCTTTTCAAGAATCATTTTTAAGACATGTTTTTGAAAGGTACTACAGTACGACTTGGAAAGAAATTAAGACATCTACTTTCGCAGGTTCAGAGGAGTGTGTTCAGAGAAGTGCCCCGAGATCTGTAGATTGATCCAGAAACATGCTGCCATGAAGACATTCTTCCAACACTAGGAGATGCTGGAGATGTTTTCCTCGCAAGTGTATCTATTCCAGGGAAAAGCACAGCATGTTCTCTATATCGATGCTGTTGGCTGGCCCAGATGCACTCGGGTCATACAGCTGTTTTCTGTCATTCCTTCTTTTTCAGAAATCCCCCTGGGATATGTCCACACTGTTCCAGGGCGATGCCACGGAAATCCCAGTCTTGTTGCGAGAGCCATGGCACAGTTGTAATTTTGCTGCCTTTTCTTGCAAACTTTTTATATCCTCAGATTCTCCCAGCAAGGCAGCCTGGCAGGAGATGAGAGGGGCTTTATCAGCTGTAATGCATTACAAGCAGCAGCTGCTGGCTGAGAAGGGGATCTTGCTAACAGCTTACATGCCAGCTCAGCTCTGGGGACGATGGCCTTGAGATAGAGACTCTCTGACAAAACAACAGCAGGTTTGATCCTCATATCCTCCAGTGTGTGTGTTGGGAGTGGAGCACAATATATATTGCACTGTGACCTGTTCAGCTTTTATGTATTTTACAGTACTTTTCACATCGATTTTTATTCCCCATTGAGAAAGAACCTTGTTCAAGATTTGTATTTTTCCTTAGGCCCTGAAATATCCAATTTTAAATAGGCACAGAAAGTAAATATCTTATATGGGTGTTGTGTTTTGCATTTTGTTCATTCATAATGTGTTGCACTTATTTATACCAGGAAAAGATATATACATTCAACAACTAAGCGCTGAAGCTTTTTCAGTGCGGAGAATTACTGTGGTAGATTGTAATAATATATTGCTAGATTACTCAGGATAGTGTCTGTGCTTCTGTTTGGCGACCGCAGACTCATCCAGGAAGAAGTTATACATAAAATCAGATCATTAACAAGGAAAGCTAATGGATGCTGTCTGATAAAAAAAAACTAACAGGTGTCTTTAATTTATTGGTAGCAGTATATAAGTAATTTATTGGGAAAGACTTGCTTGAAATGTTGCTTTAGCTATCGTTCTACACGTTTCTGTATAGCAAATATCTAAATGTTTTTCTGGTGCAAGTTTTCATCAATAAAGCGAGGATAGGCACACCGTTTGCTGGTGTTTAAGTCTGGTTCTGTTAACTGGAATAAACACTCGCATTGTGAACCGAGTAAATCTAGCGTGTGTGAAAATGTTAGCACCAGCTTCGATCCTTCAATTCTTTATTATGACGTCTGCATTATACAAGTATCTGATTTCCCCCAGACCTTAAGTCTTATTAATGCGTATGGTCCGATGCCCTATAAACATAATTGAATCTTTAGGTTCGCCTTTCATTAACAATTGTTCATAAGTGTCCCAGTAGCAAGCTTCAGATGTATTTCTTTGTGCAATTATTTTTCCTTTTTTGAAGAGACAACAAGAATCTAAATGCCTAATGCATGTTTCTGAGCGTGTTTACTCAAATTTGGC